AACACTTATTAACATGTATACGCTGCTGCACACATGGGAGAGACCCAGGAACACTTATTAACATGTATACCTGCTGCACACATGGGAGAGACCCAGGAACACTTATTAACATGTATACCTGCTGCACACATGGGAGAGTCCCAGGAACACTTATTAACATGTATACCTGCTGCATACATGGGAGAGTCCCAGGAACACTTATTAACATGTATACCTGCTGCACACATGGGAGAGACCCAGGAACACTTATTAACATGTATACCTGCTGCACACATGGGAGAGACCCAGGAACACTTATTAACATGTATACCTGCTGCACACATGGGAGAGACCCAGGAACACTTATTAACATGTATACCTGCTGCACACATGGGAGAGACCCAGGAACACTTATTAACATGTATACCTGCTGCACACATGGGAGAGTCCCAGGAACACTTATTAACATGTATACCTGCTGCATACATGGGAGAGTCCCAGGAACACTTATTACCATGTATACTTGCTGCACACATGGGAGAGACCCAGGAACACTTATTACCATGTATAACTGCTGTACACTGAGCAAATCCCCCCAAATGGCCTAAACCACCAAGTTAAATACCCTCTCCAGCTAAAGACAGAAGATGTTGGGGAGGGGGCAGTCAGGTGAGGGGGAAAAACAAGAAACAAGGCTAAGGTTGCTCTGCAGGTTGCAGTCCTGCCTTCTCCATTTAGGGGATTTCTACAGATTTACTCGTGTCTTCTTCCTGCTACAGAGAGGACACCCTCACTAATGGACATTTCCCTTGTAAATGTAAATGTCTCCTATGAAATGACAACTTCTACTTGGTTTTCAGAGCTTCTCCGTGTCTGCTGTGTCTTACACACAACCAGCCTCAACTGATCCTCGTGCCAAAGACACACATTTTGGGGTGGCGTGTCTGTTCCCCTCACCTGCCTGGAAGCGTCTGGGAAGCCAGCAGGGGGGCACAGGAGGCGTTTGCAGAAATGATGGGAACCTAGTTGTGCATCTCGCCCATCAGCCACTCGTTGGCTGCCACCAAGCACGCTGAGGGGGTGGACAGTGGGGCCTCGGGTGGACCAGGCTGAGAAGCTGGTGGCACAGCCGTGGTTCCCTGGCTGTTAGTGTGATGATGAAGGAAAGCCCTGAGGGTCCCTGAGCTTTCGGATCTATGTGGACAAACGCAGACCCTCCTGGGGAGAGGGGTCCCCTGGAGCTGGGGCCCAGGATGGCTTGGGTGGCTGCAGGCAGTCAGGCACAGGTGGTAGGCCCACGGCTCAGAGAGGCTGGTTTATGGCTGAGGAGGCTTTGCCTCCGGACTGGCGGCCAGGGAGGCTCTCCTGTGTCCTTTGCACCAATCTTTTGTTGTGGTTTTTATTCCCAGCTGCCCAGGTAGCCATTGTGTGCACGCCTGCCAGGCTTTTCCTAGACGCTGCGGGAACGCAGGCGGCGAAGGTTCTGTGGTTGTTCTGGAGCCCGGGCCAGCTGAGGGCAGAGCCCTCTGTCCCACAACTTTGCCTCCGCGGGAGCCGAGCCTCCCCATTGCCCATCGGTGAGGATGGACCACGTGAGGGACCCGTGCGTGAACCTTGCCTCCTTACTTCCTTGCCCAGATCCTGCCAACAGGAGACCACTGAGTACATTTGCTAGCACCACCTAGCTACCAGGCCTGGTACCAAGGTTAGGCTCACAGTCATCTTGAAAACACTAAGTGGTGGAAACTATCATGTTTCTCATATTTCCGATGAGGAAGCTGAGGTATGGACAGGTGAATGACCTATGACCTATGCAGGGCCACACGCCTGAATCAGGGGATGCTGAGGGTCCAACCAGTGGCCTGGCTTCAGAAGCTGGGTCAGATGGACTCTCTGAGGACAGACCCAACCCCCCCAACCCCCCCACCCCTGGCATGGCTCGGAACAACTTTGGGGGTTAGGTTTCCTTCAAGGAGGTGGTAGCACTTTAATTCTGAATATTAGCCTCTTGTAGACTGTCCAGTTGCAGAGGCTTAACGTGGCGAAAAACTTGGACTTTATCTGAATCGCCTTGCTTTGGAGTGAAATGCAAAGTAAGTTGAGAGTCGGATTCTCTTTAATCCTCCATCACATTAGCTGCTGACATGGCTGCATTAATCTAAGTGATTAATGGGCAAAGTGGGTCAATCAGCTTAAGCTAAAGCCAGGGCTGCTCGGCAGGCAGAGCTCCAGGGCTAGCACCTCCTCTGCTGGGGGTGGGTGGGGAGGAGGGAGCACTCGCAAGGGAGTCCCTAGCTGGCAGTGAGAGTGAGTTTATACCATTATTTCCATAAATGTGTGTAATATCGGAGTTGGGTCTCAGTAGATTAGGAGTGACTTGAAGCTGGAAGTTTAGAATGTCCTGCTGAGAGGTAAATATTTGCTCAAAAATGATGTGGAAATTGTCTTTTTTTTTCTTTTTTTTTAAATTCCTGGGCTCAGATAGGAATCAATCAATGGGAAAAAAAGAGGACATATGTAATATTTTCAACAATAAAGATTTTTTTTAAATTGTTGCTTAAAAAAGAAATCTCTATCTCATAGCTAATGGAAAATTGTACATTTGTGACCAAAACTGAGTATCCACTTAGTTAACACATCTCCTTTGGATGAGCCTGTTCACCCACATGCTCAACTTTGCTCCTATCATGTGCAAGAAACTGTGTGTTGAACACTATAATGATGATTATATATCAAGTATATACTATATGTCAGGCATGTTCAAAACATGTTATGATCATTAATTGTTTTAATTTTAATTAAACTCACCTGAGGTAGGCATTAAGGCATTAGCATCTTCATTTTTACAGATGAGGAAAAGAAGCCCAGAACAGTTGAGTAAGTTGTTCAAGGTAACACAGCTTATAAGTGACAGGGCTGGGATTTGAACCCAGGTGTCTGATTGCCAAGCCCGCATTCCTTAATTGTGAAGCCAAACTGCTTTGGTTTTATAAATCTCATAACCACTGAATAAAGTAGGTGGAATTATTCTCATTTCACATATTAGGAAGCTGAGGCTCAGAGAGCAAATAAGATACAGCCTTCCATCATTAAGTCTTTTTTTTTTTTTTTTTTTTTAGTGCTAATTGCTACCGTGAAGCTGGATTTTGGTCCAGTTGTTATGGCCTGCATCTATTGCAGGTTGTAACAATTTGTCTACACACTTTTGCTTAAATTAGTGCTGCATTTAGATATCACACAAGTCCCTGTTTAAAAAATGGAATCTATAGTGTTTTGGGAATTTCTTGGCAAGTTTGCACAGTTTATGCTTCGGCTGATTGCACCCAGTGTTTTGGCTGCTGTGCCTAGTGCCTTCAGGGATACATTTCGGGGGAAAGGGGTTTTGTCTGGTTCCTGTGATGAAGCCCGTGCAGCCTGGCGGGCGAAGGGGACATGTCCCTGCAGCTCATTGACCCAGGCTTGGTGAGCCCCTGGAGGCTGGCCAGTGAGGGCTGTGGGCAGAGGAATCTTGGGGCCCCAGGTGCTACTATTTAGGGAAGGCACATACCCAGAGGCACTTGGTTCTGACATCAGAGTTTGGGACAGGGTAGAAGCAGGGTACCCTGGGAAATGAGGGAGAGGTGCCAGCAGGAGGTGACCTTAGAGAGATTGGTATCTGCTCACCTAGAAGGTGTCTTTCTGTTTTAGTACATAGTGTCTGGCCTCCAAACTTCAGGTGGGACAGTAATGTATCTTTCAGCTCAAAAATTCCACTTGCAATTTTTTCGTATTCCTACAGCTGTTCCCAATGAGGAGGAGACGGGGTTAGAAGACATTGAGAGGTGAGGCCAAAGAGGTTCACCTTCTGACCTGCCTTTGGCCTGTGCTCTTTCCTCAGGGACCTGATGCCCAGAACCCTGGACGGGCAGATCACCATGGAGAAGACGCCCAGCTACTTCGTCACCCGGGAGGCCCCCGCGCGCATCTCAGCCATGTCCAAGGACACCAAGCTCATCGTGGTGGTGCGCGACCCGGTGACCAGGGCCATCTCGGACTACACGCAGACGCTCTCCAAGCGGCCGGACATCCCCACCTTCGAGAGCTTGACGTTCAAAAACAGGAGCACGGGCCTCATCGACACGTCGTGGAGCGCCATCCAGATCGGCATCTACGCCAAGCACCTGGAGCACTGGCTGCGCCACTTCCCGCTCGGCCAGATGCTCTTCGTGAGCGGCGAGCGGCTCATCAGCGACCCGGCCGGCGAGCTGGGCCGTGTGCAGGACTTCCTGGGCCTCAAGAGGATCATCACCGACAAGCACTTCTACTTCAACAAGACCAAGGGCTTCCCCTGCCTGAAGAAGGCCGAGGGCAGCAGCAAGCCCCACTGCCTGGGCAAGACCAAGGGCCGGACCCACCCCGACATCGACCCCGAGGTGGTGCGGAGGCTGCGGGAATTCTACCGGCCCTTCAACCGCAAGTTCTACCAGATGACCGGGCACGACTTCGGCTGGGATTGAAGGCACCCGGCCCGCGTCGCTTACCACTTGGCTTATATATTGAAAGAGATTATATGTATGTAAAATGTACAGAAATATATTTTATAATAATTTATTTTTAATTCATAAGCAATTAATTCACTAAGCTGCCTAGCCACACTCTTTAGAGTTACCTTCATAATCTGTTAACATTCCAAAGTGTTTAACTCTAATATTTTGTTCTTTTTCTCACAATTGATGGTGCTTCCATTTTCCCCTCCCTGCCCATTATATTTAAAAAGAAGAAAAGCACAACTTGAGTTTTTTGTTGTTACGGGTACGCAGCCTTCGATCGCTGTCTGAATTCACTTGCCGCCTCCTGAGTGGGTCTCACAGCCCAGCTTCCTGCCTGGGTACCACGCAGGAGCTGCCTCCGCAGAGCGGCACTCGGAAAGCGGGGCCCCATGAAGCGGCTTCCTCTCCACGTGATGCCCTTTCCAAGGATGCAGATGCCAGGCCCTGGTGCTAGAGTTCTCCCTGCTCAGCGCATGGGGGTTACTGCCTCGGCAGGGACACCCACATCCTTAGAGCCCGAGTGCCAGGGCCCGTGTACTTCAGATTTTGAGTGTGAAGGATGGCCCTGCCTCTTCTTGTGCCCTAGTCCCTGTGTCATTAACCAGCTTAAAGTGTATGCAAATATTAGCCCCTCTTTCCCAGGTCGCGTGTGTGAGATGATCGGGTGCTGCTTTAGAAATAAAGACGGTCTCTTCTAACTTGCATGAGCGCACTGTGCTCCATCCTCCGGGCAGACAGTTCTGCTTTGACACACCAAAGAATCCCCTAGGCTAGCAAAGCCATAGGCACAAACCCAGGCTGCCCAGTGTCGAGACCCAAAGGGCTCAGGTGCGTCCCACGCCATCAGCGTCCACCAAGGTGCTGCCAGGTGCAGAGCCAGCCGTGCAGGGCACATCCCAGTGGGCTGACAGCCCAGTAGAAGAAGAGAGAAGGCCCGCAGCAGGACAGGTGGCCGGCAGGGAAGGGGAAGCCTTGCCTCCTGCTTGATGTCTGGGACTCCTCTCCTGGAACTCCTAGCTCATCTCAGATTGACAATACGGTCTGTGCAGCCAACAGCAAACAGTGAGACGCAGGAGTGGCCCCTGCAAGGACAGGCTGGGACAGCGCCCCGTGCTGTCTGATGCATGCGCAGCTGTCCCTGTCTTAGCTGGGCCCTGGCAGGGGCTGACGGATTCGTTGCTGCTGACGCAGAATGCTCTCCCCACACCTCTCTGTTGAGAGATGCTCTCCCCACACCTCTCTGTTGAGAGAGCAGTCGGGGATCTTTTACGATGACTAGTTAATGGCAATTGGGTAACCACATAGCAATATCACATAATGACATATTCACTTTATCCTCAATTTTCTAAACCAGAATGCTCCTACCATAAAAGAATTGTTATTTGAGTTATACATTCTTCAAGGCATATGTGGAAAGATATACATATTGTCATGATAGCTGGGTTGTGATATTTACAAAGGACACTTTTTATGTTGTAAGGCATAACTTGCCCCATAGAGCAAGACAACTTATATGAAGAGAAAAACAACTCATCTTTAGAAACTGATCAGAGATGTCACTGGTCTTCAGGTGATGTCTTGTTAATGACCTAGCCCCAATCTAGCGAGGTTATGCTTAACAGCAGAAGTGTTGGTTCTGTGTGGGAGGAAGGGAATCGGGGCTCGGCATTCCTGAGCTGTTCTAGTCATTGCCCAGCTTTGTTACTGCCCCTACCAAGTAGGGCAGCACCTGTGCTTAGGGCACTGCCATCATTGCAACATGGTTCCCCCTCTTTACTGCTTGGGTACAAAGATACCTGCATAGGGTGCCAACTGGTTGTGCATCTTTCCAGTAGAAGGCTCATTTGAGCCCTGGCCAGGTAACTCAGTTAGAGCATTGTCCTGGTACACCAAGGTTGCAGGTTCAATCCCTGGTCAGGGAACATACAAGAATCAACAATTGAATGAATGAATGAATGAACAAGTGGAACAACAAATCAATGTGTTTTTTTCCTCTCCTCCCTCTAGTCTTCTCTCTAAAAATCAATAATAATAATAATAATAATAATAATAATAATAATAGAAGATGGCTCACCCAGCCAGCATGGCTCAGTGGTTCAGTGTCGACCTATGAGCCAGGAGGTCATGGCTCCATTCTTGGTTAGGGCACATGCCCAGGTTGCAGGCTAGATCCCCAGGGTGGGGCATGCAGGAGGCAGCCAATCAATGATTCTCTCTCATCATTGATGTTTCTATCTCTCCCTCTCTGAAATCAACTATATATATATGTATGGCTCATTTGAAATAAAACTGAGAACACCTTTTCAGTTACAGCATAAGGTAAAAGTCAGTCTTCACATCTTCCACTTAATTGTGTCCTGTCCTCTTCTTTCTGGACACTCCCATGATCTGCCCTCATGATGTAGAATTCCTCCTCCTTCCAGCCCCTGCCTTCTCTCCAAGCTGAACAATTTTTGATGAAGTTGTTTGTTCCCTGCCTTAAAACTGAAACAGGAAGTTTTCAGATAGAAGGAGGGTCATTTAGTCATACACACTGAAGTGGGTCAAGATTCTATTCTGGGTCAAATCCTGGAATCCCAACAGATGTCGATAATTAGCACTGAAGGACCAGAGCAAGTTTTTCTGTGTAAAACAAATAAATCAGACTTCCTGCGCATCTGCTCATAGGGTCTGCAAGCTTGCAGTTCTGACTGATCCGGACAGGGCCTCTGCCCCACAGTTACACCCATCCTGTGAGAGCTGTCGCAGGGCCTGCGCCCCCAGGTCTTCCTCCTGGAGAAGTTAGGCAACACGCTGAATTAAGCCTTGGGTTCCTTCCTGTTCTAGCAACTGCAAGGCCACCAGCTTAACCTCAGCTGCCAGAAAACAAGACAAACACCCGCTCATGTTTGGCAGTTTGTCCTGGCGTGTGTCTTGTGTTCCTTCCAGTTTACAGGAAGAACTCGATAGTCATTGGGACCCTTTATTCCTCTCAGTTTTGTTCTTTCTCATTAAAAACAAAAACATTAACAAAAACGTTGGAGGATTTTGTTGTTCCTATCTTCGTGTTTGTGCAGTGGTCTATTGATTTGGTAGGTGGCACCTGGAAAGGTATCGAGGTGGAGTGACGGAATTGGATGATGGAGGGGGAGAAGCTGCCTTCTCCTGGGATTCTCTCAGAAGTACTTTTGAGTGACAGATAAAGGTGAGACGGTTGGAGAAACAGTCTCAGATCCTGCCAGGGTGTTTTCATAAGAAAGGAAAACCAAGGTTCTACTTTAACGTGTATCTGAAATGCTGATGCAGAAGTCACTGTCTTTTCTTTTTCTCTTCAGTTTATCAAAAAGGATGGTCAATACAACTTAAAGGTGTGGTTAGATTTTTCTTCACTTTTGTAACATTAATTTATGACTGCGTTTCATTCAGCCTCGTAATCTGAAATACTGTGCAAAATTCGAGCAGCGTCTCCTGTAACCTGGATGTTAGAGTAGCCAACATGTGCAAAAATTAAATCACGTATTTTGTCCTATGTCTAACACAATTTAATTTTACACAGAGAAAGATGTTTCTAGGAAAATGAAATTCTGGTAATTGATACTATTTCTTTGTATGAACAAATAAAATATATTTTACCAACTTGTGGGTACTTTTATGTTTTGCTTTGTGTTGCAGAACAACAAAGAAGTGATATTTTATTCAGTAACTAATCACATGTGCTCATGCGCGCGCGCGCACACACACACACACACACACACACCACAAAGGCATCCATGGGCAGGTTGACCTTTCACATCTTCCACCTAATTCTGTCCTGTTCTCTTTCTGGCCACTCTCATGATCTGCCCAGCTCACGAGCTAGAAAAGTTCAGAGGATGGTGTGCAGCAAAGCACTTGGAAAGCATACATGAGCCCTTCCTTCTTCAGGCCCCTGCCTTCTCTCCAAGCTGGACAATTTTTGATGAAGTTGTTCCCTCCCTTAAACTGAAACAGGAAATTTTCAGATAGGAGGGTCATTTAGGGTCAAGATTCTATTCTGGGTCAAATTATAAAGAGCCCAATCCCAAATCCAAGCAATCCACAAACATCAGGGCACATTTTTGTAAATGACTGAAGGATACAGGATGGGTGAGGCCTCCTGCCCTGGGAGGAGCATAGCTCCCCCAGAGGGTGTGCTGTGCATGCGTGAGTCAAGGACACCCTGGCCACTGTGTGGAACAGCCTTTCAGTGCTGGGTTCTGGCCGGGGTGGGTGCATGGGGGCTGCCGTGTGCGGGCATGTACATGTCAGGCATGATGGAAGCAGAGCACTGGTGGCTGGGGCACTGGACAGGGTGGTGTTCCCATCTCGGGTGTCTGTTATTTAGAGACCTTCCCCGGGAGCTAGAGGACAGAAAGCCTGCAGAGCTGGGCATTTCTGGCTCAGCTGCCCCAGTGCCCCTCTGCTGTTTTCCTTTGGTTTAGCGCACATTCTTCATGATTACCACTCACTAGTTTAAACACTCACTCTTTCCACTTCTGGTTGAGTTTTAAAGTAGCTGACACCAAATTAACAAGATAGTGCTCAACCCCAAGAGTTCTGACTCAAAAACCACTTTATTGAGGTACGATTGGCATACAAAAATGTATATATTTCATGTACACAACTTGATGAGTTATGAAACTTTCACCATAATCAATACCATAAGCATAGTCATCACCTCCAAAAGTTTCTTCCTGCCCTCTTATTTGTTTTTGTGATAAGAATATTTAACATAAGATCCACCCTCATAGCAAGTTTTTAAGTATTCAATACAGTCTGGTTAACTGCAGGCACCATGGCACACGGTAGGTCTCCGGGACTTAATTACATAACTGAAACTTCATTTAAAAAGGAAACATTATAATCTTAGGTGAAACGCCATGATCTCTGGCCATAAAGAGGAGGTGAGTGTAAAAAACACAATGAAATCAAAGCAATGAATTAATTTCTAGCCACGCCAGCCTGAGGCTCCCCGCGTGCCTCCAAGGTCGCTCCTGGGGGCCAGCACTTACAAGAGCTGCACCCTGCCAGGAAGGTGAAAGAACTGGGGAGGGGCCACTTGCCCAGGGCCGCTGGTGTCGAGTCCACCAATGCCCCAAACAGGAGCATCATCTCCAGTAGCGCCGAGGGCTTCCTCACATTTCGGGAGACCTGTCGCACTGAGAAACACCTGGGCTAGACCAGGTTGGAAATGAGCCTGGCGTTTTGGGAACAGCCTGCAGAAGTGGAGGTCAGGTGGGAAGCAGGTCTCCGTGAACGCTTGGTTTTCGAAAGCCAGAACGATAGAGAGACTGTTCCTTCAAGCCTCGGCACAGGCCAGCAGGTGAAATATGTGTGGGCCTTGAGTGCTGACTCAACGTTGCTACCCATCCATTTGATGCTTTTCCTACAGAATGGTAATAACACAAACATAACATCCACTTATCAACCCAATGGCACAGGTTAGAACAGCAATTCTCAAGCTTGGCCAAACACTCGAATGGCTCAGAGAGGTCTTAAGAATGCTGAGCCCGAACACACCTCAGATAAGTGACAGTAGATCGAGGGGAGAGGCCCCAACATTGGTATCTGTAAGAAGCTCCCACAGTGGACCTGGAGGGCGTATGCTGAGATAAGTCAGACAGAGAAAGACAAATACTGCGTGATCTCTTATATGTGGAAGCTAAATAAGACAAACTCTGAGAAACAACAGAATGGTGGTTGCC